AAAATTCTGATTTTATATGTTACGTTATTTAAAAAAAACATAAATGATGTATCCTCTATATGTTACTGACTTACTAATACTGGTATTTTCTTATTAATAACTTCCTCTTTCAATATTGGTAACCAGATCCTACTACATTCTGCCGAGGAATTTGCGACACAATTGGCCTCATTTAGCATAATTAGAGCCGCTTCTTTGATTTTTCTTTTTTTACCATCCGTTTCTTTTAGAACTACATTTGAATTACTCCATTGAACCCTATGTTCATTATCCCATGCGTGTTTACAGGTTTGAGATCTATCAAATTCTTTATTTTTAATATAAGATTGATGTTCACTTATTCTAACATTTAATGGCCTTGATGATTCACCTAAATAAAACTGATCGCATTCACAAGGTATTTTATAAATGCAATTCTTTGTCCTTTCTTGTTCATTGTTAGGTTTGGTTTTGGACAAAATAGATCTCAACGTGTTTGTTGTTTTGAATGTTGTTGAAATGTTGAATTTATTTCCTATCCTTTTAAGTTTTTCTGATAGTCCTTTTATATACGGTATTGTTATTTTCCTCATATTATTCCTTGTGTGTGCTGTAGGATCTCGTTCTAAGTTGTTCTGTTCTATTCGATCGATTGTTGAAAATTCCTTATTTATAAACAATAAAGGATAATCATTTTTTAATAAAACAGATGTTAACAAATGTTTCTCCTCCAAGAACGAATTTTCATTAGAACAAGTAAGTTTGGCTCTATCGTATAAGGATTTAATTATTCCCTTTTTTACATTAATATTGTGATTTGATTTGAAATTTAAATATCTATTGGTGTGTGTTGGTTTTCTATACACCTGAGTCTCATATCCAGTATCGTTCTTAGAGATTAAAACATCCAATAAAGGTAGCGTGTTATTATATTCCTTTTCCATGGTAAATGTTATTGTCTCTTCTTTACCGTTTATATCATTTAGGAATGTGTCCAACAACTCTGATCCATGAGGCCATATTGAGAATACATCATCTACATACCTCCACCATACTGTTGGTTTGAAATTTTGTTTAGAAATGATATTTGTTTCAAAATCTTCCATAAATTATTATTATTATTATTAGGATATTCTCAAGTTAAAGTTAATTTCATGTAATCGAATGAACTATCTTATAAGTAAAGTCGTCTCAGGAGCGCAACTCAACAATATTGGCAATATCATTTTAAAGTCGTCTACTTTAAAATCCATAATGTATGTCTGAATTGTCAATATAAATGAGTCAGATAAAATTAAATTATTAGAAGAATTTTTCACTATGTAACAAAAAACAAAATTTGTTTAATTTACTGTTTGTATTTTGAGAACGATTTCCGAAGTGGAAATTGAAACGTCAATAAACGTATTTTTATCTTTAATTGTGGCTTATTCCCAGTTTAATAGTAATTAACTTTGCCCTTACCACGCTGATCTTCTCCAAGTTCTCACGACCAGCAATCTTTGTATACCCGCTGCCACTTCATCCTTTCACTCTTTTTATGGTCTTACTCCTTTTATTTTACTATCTAAGGCTTTTTTTGGCAATTTTTCGGCTTCTATTCTCACTACATAACTAGCCCATCGAGTTTTCTGAAGTTTACTTCGAATTTAAGCGAATTCTGAGATCGCTGCCTTTTTAAACAGTTCATAGTCGTCTGGTTCCATACTCGGAGGTTGTGTGATAAGATGGAAGCAGTATGGGTTGCCGATACTCATACTATAATAGAAATCGAGTAATATCCACTATTTCCAACGAAAGAGTCGGGGTTCTAGAAATAGAACTCAACTTCTGCCAACAAATCCTGCCAAATTCACGTCCCAGAAGGCTTTTGTTACGTAATCAATGTGTGTACGGCGTAAAAAGGTTGTACAATATGTAGCAGATGAGAGGAGATTTTTTGGCGCCTAAAAACACGACTCGAAAACCATATCGGTTAACGGAACAAACCCTGACAAAAAATTCTGGTCCTCCCAGTCAGGGGTTGGGCAACAGAACAATAACCCGTTACCATAAAAAGTACAACATCACGAAATTTTTAAATTTCATGGTTGTTCTTTTGAAAAAGGCTTCTCAAATTTTTAGTTGTATAATTTGGTTAAGCACTCTGTATATTCGATGAAATATATATTAACGCATTTTTTTAGCACTACATGCAAATACAGCTAATTATATTTTACATAAAACATTACATGTCACTGATAATAATGAAAAACATACTTAATTTATTTTTGTAGAATTAGCGAAAATATACACAGTATATATTATATACTATAATTAAATAATAGAATTATGATTATTTTTGACATAACACCGCTAATGGAAAATATACTGATTAATCAGATAAGAAAAATAAAATCGTGGAAAAGATAACAATTGCAAAAAAATTGGTATTGAGGAAAACAAAAGAAATAAACATAAGACTTTTTATTTGTTTAACCTCCCAATATATTTACTATCTGTAATATAATTACAATAAGTAAATTGTCTGATAATATGTAACAATTGTAAGATGATGAGATATAAACTTTGGGCAATAAAACTGTTATTTTAATGTGAAAGTGTAATAATTAGTTTTTAGAACTGTCTAAGACATTCGTGACGTCGAATGGGATGGTCCGCTCTTAAAAGAGACGCATCAGTACCAGTGGAAATGTATCTGATTAAAGCAGACTCATCATAAATACCTAAGGGCACAGATGAAGTATTGCCATGACCACACTATTCTCGTCTGCTTTTTATTTACGTTAACTGTTAAACTGTCACTTACTACTTTAAGGTGCATTCACATTATATATTTCTTGTTGCATATTCCCTTTGATCACAAAACCAACTTTCGTGTATTACAACAAAACAAGCAAGAGGATTTACAGGTCCAAAAAGTTGCGTTTTGGATGGGACACTCGAAACCGACGCACATCTGAAACCGGTGTATCCAGAACGTCTGGATTCGAAGTGGACGTTGTAGTAGCCTGATGAAGTGAATCTGTAGTTGGTACTGAGTTCATATCCTTGACTGTGCATGGAATCTGTTTGGGACATCAACGACGTCGAATGGGATGTTCGGCTCTTGAAAGAGGCGCATCAGTGGCAATGTATCTGGTTAAAAAAGCAATATTGTCAATACCTAAGGGCACAGATGGAGTATTGACATGACCCCATTATCACCGTCGTCTTTTTATTTACGTTAACTGTCGAACTGTCACTTGGTAGTTTAAGGTATGTTCACATAATACATTCTTCTTGTTACACAATATAAATATTAAAGAAAATATGTCTTTTTAGCATTGACAATTTCTTGTGTATCTTTGGCACTGGAATAGTGTCACGTATGCCTTAAGGTTTGGTTGGGCTTCTGCTTCTAGATTCTATTGGGCTTCTGGGACTAGTTAACAGGTCGACTGGGTCTTTCGTTTGAGTCTTAGTCCGATTAAATGTGTGTCAATAAATTTTAGGCTAGATTATTGGGATAGTCTGTTAGTCTCTGATCATATTATTGGCAGAGTTTGGTGACTGCTTAGTTGACAGTTATCATTTTGAGATGTCGTACGATCGTCTTGTTTGGAACGTACCATGGGGTCTTAGTTATCATTCAGAGGTCTTTCGATTGGTATCTTTTAAAAATGTCAATACTGGATCTAGTTGCTGTTCCCATTTCTGATTTCCATTGCCCCAAATGGGTTTTAATACAACTTTTTATGTTAAAATTTTGTTGTCGATTGACAGTTTTGACTTCCGGTCTATTAAACATCAATTGAACTAGCTGTTCGCTTGGTAAATATGTGTTATCTCTGTATAAGTCTGCGATCCAAGTATTTTACTGTGCACAAATATTACCAGCGCAGATTTTGTCCCGTTGGCTCATAAACGCGACATATTTAGCCAAGTTTGTATTGCACTTAGGTTAGCTTAAAATCTGTGTGATGCTACGGCTGGGTCTAAATTAAAATAAAACCAAATTTATGCTGACTTTTACAAATAAGAGAGCTGGAAATGTTGACGCAGATATCAACATCAATGACAAAAACTTGGAAGTGATCAAAGAGTTCATATATCTAGAATAACCAAATAATAACACGTCAGAGGGAATAATAAAAAGGCGTATCATAGTCACAAATAGGTGTTATTATGGTCTATCAAAGTAGTTAGCTAACTTACTAGCTAAGGTACTATGCACGATATTTGGAGGTATCTGTGGAAATTGAATATGGATGCGTAAATATACCTTTGAACTGCAGAGTATTTAAAAGCATAGGTTTGGTCAAAAATATACCACCATAATCAAGCTAAAATGTCTGCAGTGGGCAGAATATGTAGCTCGGGCCGTGAATGCTGATCAATAAGTGTTACTATGGCTTGAGAACACAAATGGATTTGAAACTAAACAGAAAAATTAAAGTAACCATCTACACAACATTAATAAGACCAGTTCTAAAATATGAAGCAATGTAGTTACTTACACATAATAACCAACAACTGCTTAAATATTTCGAGGAAATATAAAGAGGAAGACCAAGACTTGGGTATCAAGACAACGTAGAGGACGATTTAAAATCTATTGGACTTAGTGCATTAAAAAGAGTTGCCATAGGCAGAAGTAAATAAAGAATTGTTCGGAAGAAGGCTTTAAAGGAAAAACTTTGTAAATAGGTAAAGAAAATAATAAATAAGACTTACTCACATCAATTTAATTTAACTATCTAGACGACCGGTTTCGCTTTCTACAATTTACAGAGCATCTTCAGGTCTGTCGATACAAAGTTAATTAAATGCTGAAATAATAAAACCCTTATTAGGGTGTTGTCTTATAAAGATAAACAAAATATAAATAATATAAATTACAGTAATTATGCCAATGTAGGCAAGTAATATGCAAAAAACTTTATACTGGCATGATTACATTTACTGAATATCTCAATGAAATTAATTTAATCAAATACTTTAAGTAACTCTATTAATTATAACTTTTTTCTTTATTGCAGGTGCCATTATCATAGCAATTATAGGAATAATAGGAGTATTATCTGGAACGTGTATCCACATCCTTAATCCATATGATTTGATCTATAAATGGGTAAGTTTAAATATAGTTGATCTTCTTAATTGCAAATCATTATTTGCAATTTGCAATTTGCAAGCATTAATTGCAAATCATGTCCTGCAATTGCAGGACATCGCATACCTCAAACGAAGAAGTGCTGCATAGAATAGGCAAGGAAAGAGAACTTTTTAACACAGTAAAAGTAAGAAAAACATCATACCTAGGCCACATACTGAGAAATAATAAGTACCAATATGCCCAACTTATAGTGAAAGGAAAAATCGAGGGAAAGAGAGGCCTAGGAAGGAAAAGACTATCATGGCTCAGAAACATCTGACAATGGACAGGGCTAAATTTTGAACAGCTAATAAGAACAGCTGAAGATAGAGAGGAGTTTAAAATTGTAGTAGCCAACCTCCATTGAGGAGAGGGCACTTTAAGAAGAAGAATTGCAAATCATCATCATAGTCATTAACATCTTGGCAGATATGTTGTGGTTCATCATTGAGCTGCAGCAGCTCGGTTGGTCTGATTAATGATACTTCTTCACTGATCGCGGTCATCTGTTAAATGAAGTGTCTCTATATACTGCTTATTCAAGTCACTGAAACTACTATTCCGTTGCCTCTCCAAAAAATTTTTTTTAAATAATATGATGTGTTCTGTAGGACTTCAAACCTCAAATTATTATAGTGCTAACAACTTTAGCATGGTTCTGAATAATATTCGTTCTATAAGATAAAAATATGTAAATAATTTTTGTTTCTAGAGGATTTCCCCCCATAGTTGCGGTTATCATGCACTAACTTGACGTTAACGAGCCTTTTTTTTGTAGACAAATATGTAACGACTAGCTCATCCATTGCACATTAAAACCCCTCAGGGGTGTTGTTCGGCATAAACTAATTAAATTCGAGAAATCGGGAATTATTAATAAAATAATTTTTCAACACATATCTTTATTAAATTATACGTTAATAAAATAATAAATCAAAATGTAATAACAATTAAAAATTGAGGTTATAGCAACAGAGAATTAAGCATCTACATACAAAATTCAAAGAAAGAAAGAAACTTAGCTTAACTCTATGAGAAATCCTACTGTTGCTCTCTTTTACCATGCTCAAAATAGTATTGAGATGCTCAATTTTGAGATCATACTCAAAAACCATGCCTCTAAACCAAAACCATATGGATTTTCTTGAATCCAAAAACCATGTGGATTTTCAAAATAAAACCAAGGTAGATTTTTTTATACCAAAACCAAGGTCAACGTGAATTTTCTTTAACCATAACCAAGGTCCACGTAGATTTTCTTTAACCATAACCAAGGTCAACATGAATTTTCTTTAACCAAAACGAAGGTGGCCAGAAAAACAAAAGCGGATATAAAATTCGTCATGGCACGAGTTTTGTCCAACAACAGAAGAATTCTGGCAAGCGGAAAGCTCTTCTCTCTAAGAACTGCATACCGACCAGAACTTTCTGATGTTTCCAAAACTCACAAATTAATAATTGCAATTGATAGAATAATTATTAAATGAAAAACGAAAAAGACAAAGTTGTGCGATTAATGCCAGGGATTTATATTGAATTATTATTATTACAGCAAAAAGTACACAAAATTATACGGAAAACTAACAGTGCTAATATTTTTGATTAATCTATGAAAATATGTTGTTGTTGTAAAAAGAACAAGTATTAAACTTACCCAGACTGTTGGAAGTTTCTGACAACTCGTAAATAGATCTCTTAATAAAATGATTGTGCCACCAAACAAACGCAGAGCCTTCAAAAAGGTCTCCAGCAGATAGAAATAACTCCTGGTCTCTACATCCTGTTGAGGCTTATAATGCTTTAATTTGCTCTAAGAACGGAATAATTTGTTCTCGACTGGAAAACTTTTTAATTCCCCATTTGTAAATCAGGACGGATTTAACAACAGTACTAAAGGAGTTTGATGCAATAGGCGTAGAATCGGTTTGGGGAAGCATTTCATCATTAGCGCCTCTCGCAAGACCACTTGGATTTTCTCAGCTAAAACTCCTTCTAAGTTGACGGGGTTGTTCCTAATTTCTCGCTTAATTCTCAATTACTCCTTTAGTAGCATTCAATTTGGAAATCCTACCAAATTGCTAGATATGATTGTCCAAGTTCAGCTCATGATAGTACCTAATTATTTCTACAAATAATGATATTTCTCCTACAACAAAATATGACTTTCTGTTGAATAAATCATTTTTTGAGTTTTCATTGATTTATAACAAGAATCTTAATCCATACATTCTTTGCATTTACAGATCACCTGATTCTTCCATGAAACTATTTTTTCAGAACCTGTTAAATTTGTTAGGCGACCTGCTCAATAAAAACAAAAAGATTTATGCGATGACTTGAATATAAATTACGCTGTTTCTTGTGCTACCCAATTATCCTTGGTCAATTCTTCATTAGTGGTAATTTTTGGTGTTTCAGGTTCTAGCGTCGTTTGTTGTTCGTCTTCATAGAGCTTTTGTATTATTCCTTTACCTCCGTTCTTTGATCTCTTAAAATCACTTCCCTAGTGATCATGTTTATTTTTCTTAGAAGTGCATGTGTTTCGTTTCCAATTGTCTAATAATTATTTTATGCCTCTTATGTTTTGGTTGACATGTATTTAAGGTAAGCTTTTTTCTTTTCTTTACACTTTTCCTTCACTTGTGTACAAAACCATGGAGTTCTTCGCCTTGGAAACGATTTATTTTTATTTATATTTTTTCTTTCTTGGCCGAGGTTAATAGAAGATATATACACTTAATTTTTTTCTGATGTGTTTCTGCTTTTTTTCTGTTAAACGCAATAAACAATAAATGTTATAAGAAGGGCTTAATCATCAATGCAAAAAAAATGAAATGTATAGTTGTCTGAAAAATTAATATTGAAGACTCAATACTAAAACTAGATAACAGAACCCTGTACAGGGCGAAACACTTACAATACCTGGGCAGCTGGATTAACTGTTTGATTGAGAGCGACGAGGAAATTTCGACCAAAGTAGAACTGGTATGCAAAAAGCTTCATTACTGACGTTCTATATTATACAATAGAAGTCTGTCGTTGAAAACTCGCCTAAGAGAGCTGAAGTACTACATCTGATCTGCTTTGCATTATGGATGTGAAACCTGAACAATAAAAAATTAACAATCTAAATAGATTTGAATTAGATGTTGAAGTTCTTCGTAACTATTTGCTATTAACACCGTTTTATCCGCGTTCCTCAAATTATCAATATTGACGCCATTAATTTTGATACCAAATTGAACATTATTTTTTTTTTTGCAGAAATTAATCTTTGAAAAAGGTGGCGAAATTTATGAACTATGGAGAGATCCACCTGTAGAACTCTACCTCAGGGTTTACCTATGGAATATTACGAATAAAGACGCGTACATGAATGGTACTGATGATAAATTAAAAATGGTTGAAGTAGGGCCTTATGTATATAGGTAAAATTAATTTACAAGTTATATTTATAAAAAAATATACATACTTTCTGGGTTTGGTCATAAATTACATTTTTTATTTTAGAGAGTTTATGCTTCATGACAATGTCACCTTTAATAATAATGGAACTTTAACAGCAATCCCCAAGCATCCATTAGTGTGGGTACCAGAACTTTCGGAAGGAAGAAAAGAGGATGATCTGCTGATCTTACCTAACATTGCTCTACTGGTAAGTTTTAAAACAAATTGATACATTATATGTTTCGGCTTCTTGCTGTGGTAATTTGCAATTTTTAATTATTATACTTCTTAAAAGACAGAAAATATTGATCTTTTACGTTGAGAACACCTTTGGATAACTGTTCTGATGAGACCTATTAGGTCGAAATACGTATCAACATATACAAAGGCGCTGTTTGCGTGAAATCAAATATTTGCTGTCTTTTTCACTTTTTTCGGATTTACTCTGTACGAGTACTAGATACCAATTCGCTAAGGATTTCTGCTTAGTTGAAAAGATGTGTCGTGGAATGCAAATTTTAGATTCCCCAAGTCTCTTTTAAACACTTTAATCAACGTTTGTTTTGCTTTGCAATTTTTAGAAAGCACAGATAAAAGCAAAAATCTAAATTGTATTTCGAAACTATTTTACGGTTTTATTGTCAGATGTCGCTATTGCGTCCGTATTGAAGCTATTTTAGTGTTGCTTCTTAAAAGACAGAAAATATTGATCTTTCACGTTGAGAACACCTTTGAATAACTGTTGTGGTGAGACCTATTAGGTCGAAATACGTATCAACAGATACAAAGGCGATGTTTAGGTGAAATCAAATATTTGCTGTCTTTTTTACTTTTTTCGGATTTACTCTGTACGAGTACTAGAAACCAATTCACTAAGGATTTCTGCTTAGTTGAAAAGATGTGTCGTGGAATGCAAATTTTAGATTCCCCACGTCTCTTTTAACACCTTTATCAACGTCTGTTTTGCTTTGCAATTTTTAGAAAGAACAGATAAAAGCGGAAATCTAAATTGTGTTTCGAAACTATTTTACGGTTTTATTGTCAGATGTCGCTATTGTGTCCGTATTGAAGCCATTTTAGTGTTGCTTCTTAAAAGATAGACAATATTGATCTTTCACGTTGAGAACACCTTTGAATAACTGTTGTGGTGAGACCTATTAGGTCGAAATACGTATCAACAGATAATAAGAAATTCGACGCAAAATACGAGAAGCAAAGAGTCAACATCTAGCCAAACAGTGTCATGACATTGAAGAACTCGAAAAAAGATACGACACGTTTAACATGTATAAAAAAGTAAAAGAAGCGGCTGGTATCTTCAATAAGAAACAAAATGCATTGCTACAGGATGAAAATGGTAAAGTAATATTCGAAGTAGAGGACAAACTTAAAGAATGGGAAAATGACGTCACGAACCTATTCGAAGACGATAGGAGTAGTTCACCTCCCGATATTACTAACTGCGACGGACCCCTAATAACACGCTGTGAGGTTATAAAGGCCATACAATCATCAAAAGATGGCAGAGCGACTGGTCCTGATGAAATTCCAACTGAAATATATAAGCTTATAAAGGATAGCAATATTTTAGAGGCTATAACTTCGTTTTTCAATACCATTTATACCAGCGGACAACTACCTAATGGTTGGTCTAACTCACTGTTTATAGCTCTACCTAAGAAGACAACAGCAAAAACCTGTGCTGATTATAGAACCATCAGTTTGTTAAACCACTTATTAAAATTTTTCTGAAGGTAATACATGGTCGTATCTACAATAAACGTGAGGAATACCTGGATGACACTCAGTTTGGTTTCCGTAACGGATTTGGAACGAGAGAGGCACTGTTTGAATGAACGTACTTGCTCAAAGATGTCGTGATATATCTGTAGACATATACTGTTATTTTATTGACTTTCAAAAGGCATTTGATCGTGTTAAGCACTCTATATTGATCGAAACTCTAAAAGACATTGGCTTGGACGGCAGAGATGTTCGAATAATTGCAAATTTATATTGGAATCAAACAACATCAGTTTTAGTAGATGGTGTGGAATCACAAGCTCTCAATATTAAAAGAGGAGTACGGCAGGGATGCCTCTTGTCACCCCTGCTTTTTAACGTTTACTTCGAAAGAATTTTCAGAAAAGCACTTTCTGAAAAACAAGAAGGAATACTTGTGAACGGCGAAGTCATCAATAATTTGCGATATGCGGACGATACAGTACTCCTAGCTTCTAGTCAAGAAGATCTGCAAACACTACTTGATAGTGTCGTTGGGAGTTGTAGGGAGGCAGGTCTGGATCTTAACATAAGGAAAACCAAAATACTTGTAATAAATAAACAACAGAATATAAAACCGTCTATATAATGTATTTAATACCAAACTTGAGCAAGTTGATAAAATCGTCTACCTTGGACAGCAATTAAATTGTAATGCAGAAAATCACGGCGAAATTAGATCCAGAATAGAGCAGGCTAGAGCTGCTTTTAGAAGGATGTCCAAGGTGTTATGTAACACAGACCTAAAATTGGCATTAAGGATCCGCCTACTTCGCTGCTACGTGTTCTCGGTCTTACTTTATGCTGTCGAGTCCTGGACTGTGAATAAAATCGATCTAAATCGCCTTGAGGCTTTCGAAATGTGGTGCTATAGAAGAATTTTAAAAGTTTCCTGGGTGGAGAAGATTCGTAACTCCACAATACTTGAACGTCTCAGCAAGACCACTGAGATCATAAAAAGCATCAAGCAGAGAAAGCTGGAATATTTCGGACATGTAATGAGAGGTCCCAAATATAGATTGGTACAAAATATCATGCAAGGAAAAATAGCAGGCAAACGCAGTCCAGGACGAAGAAAAACCTCATGGTTGAAGAACTTGCGAGATTGGTATGGTGTAGATACAAGCATGCTATTTATGGTGGCAGTGAATAAAATTAAAATAGCTATGATGGTAACCAACGTTCTGAAAGGACATGGTACATGAAGAAAAAGAACGTCTGTTTTGCTTTGCAATTTTTAGAAAGCACAGATAAAAGCGGAAATCTGAATTGTGTTTCGAAACTATTTTACTTAATATTGTTCTGAAGCTATTTTCTTGTGGCATTGTAAATTAATTACTATTTATAACTGGGAATAAGCCACAATTAAAGATAAAAATACGTTTATTGACGTTTCAATTTCCAATTCGGAAATCGTTCTCAAAATACAAACAGTAAATTAAACAAATTTTGTTTTTTGTTACATAGTGAAAAAATTCTTCTAATAATTTAATTTTATCTGACTCATTTATATTGACAATTCAATGTATTTTAATCTTTAATTGTGGCTTATTCCCAGTTATAAATAGTAATTAACTATTTTACTGTTTTATTATACTTCTATTGACAATACAGCTTTTTCACAGACATCCGAGATTTATTTTGTAATATGATATATTGTGCTTGTTAAATTGATTGATCTTATTTATTTATATTTTCTATTTTATACACTTTTGATATTCTTGCTTGTTGTTAGCCTTTTTTTCTATTTTTATCAACATTTAGAGGTTTTATTAGAAGGTATTGTGTCATATTGTGCTTTTTATTTATTATCACGTTCTTCTTTATAGCAGTCATTATCATGCATATATTTAAATGTATTAATTTAAATAAACACAAAATTATTCAATTTAGAATCCCAAATTTTCCTATTTGCAACATTTTTAAAAATTAAATACAAAGCAGTATGTTGGTTGTCCCGAACAAGGTAATATCGATTACTGGTGGCATTGACATTGTGTGAACCGATGTGAAGGTATTGCTGCGGTAATAGTAAAAATTAAACTTCGATATTGCTTAATACTGATTTAATGGGACGGGGTACTTAGAGTACCCTATTTTGCAGAATTTAGCTTGGGGATTTCCAAACCGATAACCTTCATATTAATAACATCACAGATATTTTAGAACAAAATCACAGGTGTTAAATTCGATTCAAATTATTTTTGGTAAAAATAAAATCACATAGAATATAAGTACACTCATGGACAAAAATATCGAATATTATGGAATTTTCTAATTTTTTTTTGAAAATAAATTCTAGTCAATCAAGTCGTTTATTGTGAAAGAGTTTATTTTAACAATGTTTTATGAACAATTTTAAATTTTTATGCAAAGAAAATTGCGGAAAAGAATAGTTCTTAATGCTAAGTAAATCTTTTTTACTCCAAACTTAAAAAAGGTTTTTTTACTCTAAACTTAAATGCTAACTTAAATTGTTTAAACAAGTCTTTTTAATTGAAATAAGTGCATGCTCAGTAACGAGTATTCCCCCTCTAGCTTTTATTACTGCTTGCATCCTTCTTGGCGTGCTTGCAAGTACATTTTGGACATACCCTTGGGAAATAGCATTCCATTTATCCTGTGCAGCAAGCCTAAGCAGCTCTATCGTATTTGGGATGAGATTTCTTAGTCGTATGCGGCGTTTTAACTGATCCCACATGTACTCTATTGATTATTATATTGATTATTATAATTATAAAGATAATTACTTACTATGGCAGCAGCATGTGTCGAGCATTATCGTGCAAAAATATGAATTTGTCATATCCAGTATAAATAACATATGGCAAAACATGATCTTGCAAGATATTTTGAATGTAAGTGTCACCAGTCATTCGTCCAATCACTTCCACAAGTGCGGTGCGTCCCTCCCAAGTAATACCTCACCAAAGCATTATGCCACCACCTCCAAAACTAACGGTCTGGGTAAGACTGCAGGTGGCGAATCGTTCTCCAACTTTTCTGTAGACGTGGTTTCGGCTATTTGGCTTATATAATAGGATTCTGGTCTCGTCAATGAAAAGAACATTTTTCCAGTTGTCGATATTCCAATGAATATGTCTTCCTGCAAATCTGAACTACGAGCTTTATGATTTTGGAAAAGATGTGGAACTTTTGCAGAACGTCTAGGTTTTAATTTTGCTTTTTTTAATCTTCGTCTAACTGTTTTTGAGCTCACATTAACTTTGGCTGACATTTAGTAGCTCATTTCAGAGATGCATCAATGTCAATGAGCGATTTCTTGTAGAATTAACAACCAAAAAATGGTCATCAATTACGGTTGTGCACCTTGGACCTCCTTGACTAGGCCTTCGAACAAAATTGCCTGTCTCATGGTATCTTTTTGAAATATTCGATACTGTAGATTGACTTCTCCTGAGACGC